ATTCCGTTTTATATGAATTCCATGTTGTACGAGTCACTTAGATTTTACAAATACGTAAGCCGTTCACAGCCCAGCACACGTATTTGTAAAATCTAAGTGACTCGTACAACATGGAATTCATATAAAACGGAAAAATCAACAGTGTTATAAGGGGTCGACTGTATTTTTCTCTGTATATAAATCATATTTTGCATTCCAGTGAATTTCTAACATATAAAAGTTTATTATTTGAATATTTTAATTTAAAAAAAAAGAAAAAAAAACAGCTTAATGAAGCGATAAAAGTACAATTTATTCATTATTCTTTACCATAAATTAAAGAATAATAATGGATAAAAGTTATAAAATAATACAATTATTTGCTTCCTTTTTCATTTTCTGCATCCGTTATATCAGGTGCACTGTCCATTCTTCCACAGATTGGAGGCGTAATTGCTGATTTTAATTATAATTAATTAGTAGGTAAAACTTATTAAGTACTAAATAATAAACCAAATACAGTCGACCCCCTATAACACTGTTGATAATTCCGTTTTATATGAATTCCATGTTGTAGGAGTCACTTAGATTTTACAAATATGTGAACTGTTTACAGCCAGGCACACATATTTGTAAAATCTAAGTGACTCGTACAACATGGAATTCATATAAAACGGAATTATCAACAGTGTTATAGGGGGGTCGACTGGTAGTTAAAATAATAATCAAAATTACTTACTAAATATAGCAGCCATAACGATGCAAAATACTAACAAGGAAATGTCCATTATATCTGACTGTAATTCGGATTTTAAAATTTAATTATAATTAAGTTAAGTGCAATTAAATTATTAAAATACCTGTCAATAATTTACCTGTAAAGTTTTCCTTTAAGCTTGTTACTCGATACGATAGATATAGTTCAAGTTTAGTGGGTTACTAAATAATATCGTGTATGAAACATATGCTGCTGAATAATATTCTTTTATATTGCTAATTATGAGACAATGCAGGTACATAAAGCATGTGCAGATTCTATATCGAATACTTTTATTAAATACAAAAAAAAACAAAGCTTTATTCTTATGTTTATTTTAATTCAAAATTATCCTTTAAATTTATCTTAAAATATATTATATTAAAGCTCGTTCGTTTCTTTTAAAAAATTGCAGATTTATTTTTATTTTTATTGCTATAAAAATTGGTTAATTTTACACTAGAAATATGTATAAATTTAATTATAATTAATTTCAAATTGAAATCAATTTATTTCTGAATTTAATTGTAATCTATTTCATATTTACATTAATTTGTTTCTGAATTTAATTGTAATCTATTTCATGTTTAAATTATTCATTTTCTAGATTTTAATTTTAATTAATTTCAAGTTTAAAATTAAATTGATACTGATTATAATTAAAATTACTCACGCCATATTTTAATTAATTAATAAGAAAGACGATATTTACGCTTTTCTTTTAATTAAATATTAGAATATCATGAAATTTAATTACGTTTAAGAAACCTGCTAATTAATACTATTAAATATTAAAATATCATGAAATTTAATTACGTTTAAGAAACCTGCTAATTAATACTATTAAATATTAAAATATCATGAAATTTAATTACGTTTAAGAAACCTGCTAATTAATACTATTAAATATTAAAATATCATGAAATTTAATTACGTTTAAGAAACCTGCTAATTAATACTATTAAATATTAAAATATCATGAAATTTAATTACGTTTAAGAAACCTGCTAATTAATACTATTAAATATTAAAATATCATGAAATTTAATTACGTTTAAGAAACCTGCTAATTAATACTAATTATTTAATAAATATATTCTAAAAATTTGAAAATAATTTTTATTCATATCAATTAACTCAAATGCTATTTTGAATATATAAAACAATTAACTTAATAATTAACATTTAAAATTTGAAATTATAATGAATTTCAAATTTGAAACTAATTATAAATCAATTTAAACGAATTAGTAATTTTAATCAATTTTTAATTGCTAAATTTATTACTTAATTAATTTTAATGATTTTAATTGAATATATTTAACAAAATCGAAAAAGATTTTTTGTTAAATTAAATTAAAATTTTATTATCATAAAATAGTTCTAAAATAATCAAATAAAAGCATGAAAAAGTAAATATGGTAAAGTGGCCCGAAATTTAGTTAACCAATATATACTTTTAGGAATGATTCAAGTAGCCTACGGTCAAACTTCTTAGCAAGGGCCACTGACGATAACAGACTTTATGCAGAGGTGTCCGTAATTTAAAGGTTTGAGCTATTCCGTATAGAAGATAATATAAATTTATTTTAAATTATATACATTTTATTATGAGGTAGATCTTAGGTCTAGATTAAAGAAAGAAAGAGGATAAGAGGATGAGAAAGAGGAGAGAAGGTCCCAGTAGGATACTAAGTAAAAAGGGTGAATGAGAAAGTATGAAAAATAAAATTTTATGGCCATTGTTTGAAGGTTATTAATTTAAATGTGAACTTGATGACAATTAAACGTTATTGAGTTAAATATGAAATTGATGACAATTAAACGATATTGATTTAAATATGAAATTGATGACAATTAAACGTTATTGAGTTAAATATGAAATTGATGACAATTAAACGTTATTGATTTAAATATGAAATTGATTACAATTAAAATCCTGTGAATAATTTAAAGATTATTTTGTATACACTTCAAAAATAAACGTTCTGCTGTTTAGAGGTAGCCTTATTCGAAGTTCGATCGTTCATTTCAGTTTACTTACTTTTGGGCCATCCTGTATAAAAGATAATATAAATATAAGTTTGTTTTTTATATATTAATAGGGAGCAGAGCGTTAGTTAACGTTGAACAAACGGAGTGAGGGGATGAGAAAGAGGAGAGAACGTCCTAGTACGATACTAAGCAGAAAGGGTGAATTAGAAAGTATGAAGGATAGAATTATTTTATATAAAACTTATATTAAATTTAATTTCTTTCATATAAAAATACATAAATGTTTAATATATTTTTTTTATCTTTTTCCCAGTGGTATTTTCATTCTGGTTTATAAGATTACGTAGGTATGTTTTTACAGATAAAGCATTTTAAAGTTTACGATAAGAAGAAACATTCACGTGCATTATTTTATCACCAGATAACAATGTGTATGTCACGTTTAAACTCCAAATTACAAAAAGTCGTCACTGTTGCCAGTTGTTCAATTAACAATCTTACAACGATGAATAAATCTTTTATTTTCTATTAATAACAAAGCAATTATTTCTATTAGAGTACACAATTAATAATGTCTGGTGATTAATTTCAAATATATTAATTTTTAATTGCGTTAGAATCATTTAAACTTAATTTTAAAGACGTTTAAAATATAAAAGGACGATTTATTCTATTGACGTTAATGATTTAATTATAATTAAGAGATTAATGACAATATTGATATAGAATTAAGATAGATACAGTCAAGCCTTTAAACACACGCAAAAAATGGCTATTTATCGAAAGTGGCCGTTTTTTGGAGGTTATTTTGTATGCAATTTTATTAAAAAGTTCCTGGAAAATAGCCGCTTTATATGGACTTTTATTTTAAAAGTTTCTGGTAAAATGGTCGCTATTTGGAGGGTGATTTGTATGCAGTTTTTATAAAAATTTCCTTAAAATTGGCCGCTGTTTACAGGTTAATTTGAAGGTTGTTCTCTATCTAATTTTACTTTACGCTGTTTACAGGTGGCCATTATTTGCAGTGGCCGTTCTGGAGAGGTGTCCGTTATTGGAGGTTCGGATGTATTTATATATTTATTTAATAATGAAAAAAATTGTATAAAATTAAAAATATAATCAGCTTAAATATAAATATGTAGCGTGAAAAATATATAATTAAATTCTATTACTCAATTAAAGTTAATTCTGATTAAGTTTAAAATTAATTGTAAAAAAGTTTTTAAGAAAATTATCTATTTAATGTGTTAAAATGTTTAAAATTTTATTAAATTATTAAAAAATTGTATTTAATAAAAATTACTTTATATATCATTACATTATGTGGTAGCTTCTGTTTTCATTTATAACTCGTTTACAGTATAACCTGTGAACGACGGACAGTGAAGAAGAACATAACACGAACGTTGTTCGGAATTGGGCGGTGTTTGAAGGTTTTTAACTTAATTTTTCTCGGAAAATATGACTGATGATTAGAGTTGGACGTTGTTAGGAGGTGTCCGTTATTGGAGGTTGAGCTGTATACATTTACTTTAGATTTTTCTACTTAAAATTTCTAATTTTTTATACTAAACTTAATCACATTTTGAATTATAGATTGTTCCCATCAATTTATATATAGAGAGGGTGGCCCAAAAGTCACTTAACAATTGTAAACAATAACTAATTGTTTTTTTCAGATATTTATTTACATATTTTATGTTTCCACATATTTGTATAAATGAAAACAAAACACATTGTTGTAAACTTAATTTCAGTTATAAATTTACATTTACAAGAACACATAAAAGAAAAAGCGATGGGGTTAACTAATTTTTGGGCCACCCCATTCATTCAATTTATATATACTATATATTTGGTTTTTTTTTAAATGAATTTTATTGTTTTTAATGGTTCCTACCCCTATAAATTAATGTTATTTTGCTTACAAAAATAAAATTCTTTAAGCCTGTTTTTTAATTAAGGAAGAAATATTTTACAAATTTTATTTGTTCGAAAATACAATGACAAAGGGGGCCCTTCATATCTTCAGGCCCCATACAAAATCTTGTCTACTTGATACATCTAAGCATTTATCCTTCATCACAGAAGAACGGCTATTCCATAGTGTTACAGGNAATATTTTACAAATTTTATTTGTTCGAAAATACAATGACAAAGGGGGCCCTTCATATCTTCAGGCCCCATACAAAATCTTGTCTACCCGATACATCTAAGCATTTATCCTTCATCACAGAAGAACGGCTATTCCATAGTGTTACAGGTATTTAATCATGTTTACATTTTAATTGTCGCTTTCAAATGTTCATTTCGGCCTTTATTGAATTTAAAATTACACAACATTATAAACACTATAAATTTTAATGGGCATTTAATACAATATAAAAGTTAATTAACCCATTTACGGTATATCGATGCGATATATACTTATATAAATAAATATATATAAAATTAATAACGTTAACAATAATCACGCATCCTTCTTTTCTTTCTCTTCCTTCTTATCCGGAGAGCTGTCCATTCTTCCACATAACGGAGGTGCAAATGCTTTTAATTAATATAAGAATTAATTAATTAACTTAATTAAAAGTTAAATTATTATACGAGTTAATTAGTAATTAAGTTAAAAGTTAAATATACTTACTGAAAAGAATCGTGATGAAGATGCAAAATAATATTAATGTGACGTCCATTATGATTCAAGTCTACCCTCTGTACTCTCGGTTTTTCGCTGTTTTAGTTGGATTTTTACGTAATTTCGAAAGGAATATAGATGTAAGAAGGTATAAATGACTCGTTTACTTCGATTTTTTTTTCTTAATTTTCGGACGGGCGGGTATTTATATACACGTGTTATCAGCACGATTACTCATGTCAACTTTGTCGCAGTTACATAGTTGATACAAATGATATAAAAACTGATAATTTTTTAAACTTTGATAAATATATCGGTCACGTGTTTATTTCTTTATTATCTCAATGTTTTCTTTATTTATTATCCTCGCCTGAAATAACTTTTTCTCCTTAAAGTGTTTTAAGATCAATTGTAAATATATGAGATTTCAAAAGTAAATAAATAATATGATAAGAGAAAAATGAGTAGAAGTTAAATTTATTTGGCTTCACAATATATTTTTCTACAATTTTTTTATAGTTTTACATCCAAAGTTTTAAATTTAATACCTCGTTAAGGTGATTTTGTTGAAGGATTGTTCTATTGTAATGTCAGTTTTTTTTTTTATCTTGGTGTTAACATAATTTTATAAGTAAAAGTGTGGTAATTTATGTAATTTGCTTGTTATTTTATGAACTTTTAACAAATTATAATCTATATTTAAAATTTATTACGATATTAGCAATTATGTTAACGTTTTAACTGTAATTAACAATTGCTCTTAAACGTTTTAATTAGAATTAAAAGTTGATTTTAAACGTTTTAATGAGAATTAAAAGTTAATTTTAAACGTTTTAACTGTAATTAACAATTTCGTTTAAACATTTTAATTAAAATTAAAAGTTGATTTTAAACGTTTTAATGAGAATTAAAAATTGATTTTAAACGTTTTAACTGTATGTATCAATTGCTTTTAAACGTTTTAATTGTAATTTACAATAAATTCAAAAAATTTTAATTGTAATTTACAATAAATTGAAAAAATTTTAATTATAATTAAATATCTTCTTAGTCTTTTACATATGATGCGTTGAATCTTGAAAAACTTCCATCTAAATTGTTTATATGAAATTAGTTACATAAAAATTATGTTAATTGTAATTAATTACAAATTAATTAACACAATACTTTTAATTCTTTTTCAAGATTCGATTTATTGTAACCGTATAACCATCTCGCCGCTGGAGTTAATAATTCTTTTTCAACAGTTTTCTTTGGTCCTGTTGAGAAATGAATACAATTTAGTATTAAATCTAATACTTTTATAGCATAAAATACTATTTAAAGGTAAATTACCAGTAATTAAGCTGACAAAATAGCCAATAATTACAGTTAAAACAGTAGAGAAAACTGCAAACCACCAGTAAGATATTTTGTATAATGGAAATATATCTCTGAAATATTCGAAAATATTTAATATATTATTGATTAAGTTAATTAAAAATAAATATTTTTAACTACAAATCGTAAGTGTTTTAAAGATAATTTGAAAGTTTCAACGATAAACAATGATAAGTTTATTAGCTTTGCTTAAAAACAGCAAAACAATCTCGTGTTCCGATTGATACTATAAACAGATAAGCACGTGTAATCTTAATTCCACCCCCGAAAAGTGCTGAATTAAAATATAAAATATCTACAAAATAATTATATATAAGGGAACATTCTACTTATTTCATTTCTTCGTAAATAAAACTGCAGAAGGGTCCCTCTTTATCTCAGGCCCCATACGAGACCCTGTACATCTTGATCGTTTATTCTTTATCACAGCTCTAGTGGCTTCGTACACAATGGTAAAGGGATGAATGACAGTCTACACGTTCTAATTTATTACGTTTTTAAAAGTTTAACAATGAAACTTCCATCGAAATTCACGTGTCTTAAGAAGTAAATTTGCACCTCACCTCTCGTCCACGTATGTAAAATTATGACTTATTGTCATATTAATAGCTTGAGTTACGTTATCACATTCCATAATTGTCTGTGGTAATTTTGTAGTTTTGAACTGTGCTAAGTTATTCCCTATTCCTAGCCATAAAAACAGTACGCTCGATATAACGACACCAGTAACGGCACCCTGTAACGTAAAATAGAAGTTTTATGATCGAAATTTAGTTTAAAATTCACTGAATTTAGAGTTATTATACCTTCTCGTTTGGTCTAATGAACAGCATTCCTAACGTAAATACTCCAAAGATTGGTCCTCCAAGTACACTAAGAATGGTAACTGAAACTTGCATCAGAACGTCCAGCTGCTCTACCAAGTATGAGAGCAATATACAAGAAAGTCCATATACTAGCACTAAAAATAGCAAAATAGTTACTCAAGATAACATTTTTGTCAATTAGTTAAAGATTTTCATAATTAAAATGTAATTTACCTAAGATTTTCATTATGTAAGAGGCCTTAGATTCTGTTAAACGCCCGCTGCAACAATATGGTTTAATGAAATCTTCTAATGTTACAGCGGATAACGAGTTAACACCGGATGATATTGTGCTAATTGATGCACTAAATATACCAGAAACGCATAATCCCGGCAAACCTGGGAATTTTCCTAAAGATTGCATGACATAATATGGAAGTATCTAAAAAAATTAATAATATATCAGATAAATTTTTATATATACTTATATAAAA